TAGAAAAAATGTCTGTTTAAGTGCAGAAGTGAAAGAGGGGCCAATTTTAGTGTTTGTGATATACTGCATGCCGTAGTATGATATGTTAATCCCATTCAGTTCATCCAATCTCTTAATTAAACCAGTGATTAATATCAAAGGCCGTGGCTGTAATTGATGGAGGGATAATAAGCGAGATGAGGCTTTCAGTAATTGTTTAACATGACCTCCATCTCTTCCTCACGGCACTTGAAAATGAGCAGCACCATATGTCACCAAGTGGTTGCTGATAAAGGGGGTGGGGGCATCGTCTGCAGGGATCAGAGGAGCAAAAACTTGACATTCACTCAATGAAAGTAGCAGGATACTGCTCCCACATTTACTTGGTGTTAGGTTGTGTTCTGAATAAAGAGTATGGGCAGAAAATGCATAATTAGAACAAAGGGAACTTTTTATCTTTGTGAAATACTGAAACTTCTGGTTGTTGATTGCTGTTCACCAGCGTCCCATGGCCTTTAAAGAATCAATCTCATAATATCCACTTGGGTAATTGAGCGATGCTAATACTGGGGTTGGGGTTTCACTCAAGGAGAAAGTTAACGAGGGCTTATTAAAGGAGTATTGGAAGGTACTGAAAACCCTACCTGAGGCTGCAGTGTTCATTACAGCCCTCAGTATAGAGAGCTGCAAAGAATAGATAACACACTGATGATTTGTCGAATGTTTGTTTGTGTCATAGTCATCGGACTAGTGGAGCAAAGTGTATTTAAAAGCTTGGCCTGAAGGTGGCACTAGATGAAGTTAAATGTTGGATCAGTGTGATATTGGGACAGTTATTATATATTTATTTTACAATATGGACACTCATTGTTGTCTTGTGTTTTTCTGGACCAAAATAAAAGATGCTCGCACTTAAGTCTGTGACAACCGTACTTTGCTGACTCATTTGTTCCCGGTGAGGTGCCACCGTTCAAACCACTTTATATGATGATCAGTCATTGGACTGTGTCAGAGGAAGTGCAGATGACGGACCTCAGGCAGAGCTCAACTCTCTCTGGCACGATGATTTTAAAAAGAACTGCTTATGAATCCCTTCTGTTATCACCTTTTCATCTGCCACCAGCATCCATTCTCACAGCAAGAGGTAGATTCTTTATCCAGATCACTGCACAAATACACATCAATGAGATACAATCTTTCATTCGCTCCTGGCAGCGAAATTCCAGAAAACCCTGACTGGAGTCATCGACTGACTGGATGGATTTGACTGATCTAACTGAATTTTTATTTTAATGGTATTTTTTTGGGGGTCAACTTCATCAGTTTAGGGGAGAAAACACAAGATCACACAAAAACAACTCAGAGTCAAGCAGCCTTGGAGGTCATGGTTCCAAAGAGATGATCCTGCATCGATATGTGAGAGATTGTCTGACAGTTGGGGTTTAAGAGGAAGCAACACCTCCATGGTCTAACTCCAGGGATGGTTATGTTGCTGTGCTATAGGCCTGACTGCTGGGAGATCTCCTATGACACACCCACCCCCCTGGAAAATACATCTCAAGCATCCTGTATATTATACATTTCCTTATAAACTGCACTTAACTGAAATTCCCCACAAAAAAGACAGATACTCATTGATTCGAGTACTTTAATTAGAGTCCACAAATACATGACCACTCAAGCAGTCACACATAACCCCTGCTTTACCCTCTGTTTTAAATCAGTGTAATCATGTGGACTTTACACGAGTGCAGTCTAACTTATTAACAACTAACCCTAATGCAAATGTTTTT